TTTGTTTAAACAAATTATCTTCAGCTTGAATAAAACCAATTTTTTGATCTATTTTCCACCTGGCCTGAGTTGTAGGCAAGCCTTCCTTCTTCCAGTATTGCGCCACCAACAGTCTTGCTGCCGTTATTAGGTGCAGAATCAAGTTAGTCTCTACCACTGTAAAGTCAGTACATATACCTAGTAAGAATAACTGAGGAGTAAACTTTATCCAAACATTCCAATATGATCCATAACCAACTATCTGGAAAAAGAATAACCGGTAGAAAAAAAAAACAATCCTTGGTTTTCCACCCCTTTTCTTACCTGTTATTCCATGCTTGCAACATCTCACAGAGACTTTGCTTTTTGGCTATTAAAGATTCAGAAATGGAATGCAGTTGCTGTGGAGTGTCAAGTGAAGAAGAAAGCATCCTCGCTTGGATTTTCTCTATCCAGTTTCTAAATTCCACCTCCTCCATCTATCAAAGAGAAAAAACAAAAACAAGGCCAGAGTGACTTTTCTCAGAGGGAAGTTGCTATTCCTTATCCTGCGCTGTTCCAGGGGGCTTCCAAATGTCAATCAAGTATTCACAGCTTATTACTTTAAATGACACCTATTTCTGAAGAATCCTTAATAAGAACGAAAGTCACGTTTGCAGCCGCACGGGAACAACGGATGACTTTTACTTACATGCTGCAGTTTCAACTCAGCCCTGTCCACACTGCTTTCCAATTACCGAAAACTGGTTTGATGTTGGATTCAAAATAATTATCACCTTAGGGCCATAGCTGCCTTCTTTAGCTTCATGTATCCTGTACCTTCTGTAATGAACGAGAATTTAATTCCTGTAAACATGCAGTACATTATACCTCCTTTTGGGCAAAGAGATCTTCCATTTTTTCCTCCCTTGTTTTGCTAAATGTGTCTGTTTTCAAAGATGTGAGGCGCTCATCGACAGCGATATACACCTGAGATATCCTGCAACAACAATAAGCATAATCTGAATCCAAACTCACCATTCAGAAGTTGCACTCTTGCAAGCTTCTCCTTAAGAAGTTTATCCAATATCCTGCAAGTTGCAGTTTTTCAAAGAAACTAGCCTAATTGTCTATGTTAGGCCGAGAAACATTTAACAAGTATAATTTTCATGTTATGTATTTGTTCAACAAATGTTCAGAGGGAATGCATACAGTAGCTTAAATCATCAAATAAACAAGAATACAAAAGATTAAGGTCCAAAATATTATTACTGTTTGCTTAAACTTTCAACTGATTTGAATGCATATGTGAATCAGTATCATTAGAAAATTCCACACTGTAACTTGTTCAGCCAAAAAGGGAGTTTCTTCAATTTCTATCCAGGAGCACAACACAACTAGCAAAACATTAGAAAAGTTCCACAGAAAACACTGAGAATTTCAAGGGGAAAAATTACAATATTATATTTTAATTTTGAGACTGTGGGCTCATGCTTCATCCATTGTCTGCTGCGTATAGCATTAAGTGCACAATACAAATACTTGCTATCCTTTAACATGGGGGCAATGAAGGAACCAGAACACAAACTCCAAATGGGACAAACTGGGGTGGGGTGGGGATGTAAACCTACTTCTGAGAAAAGTCTTTCAGATCTTGAAGCATGGTGATCTTCAGGGGTAGTTGACGTTTGATGTAAATCTTAGGATGAGGGACACATACCTCCAGTAACCTTATAGCAGAATAACTAGGAAGAGAACACAACACAACATTGAGATGCAAGGCTTGCAAACTTTATGCCTTTTGAACGGCAAATACATTTTAATATTAGTGAGAGAACTGACTGCACTTGTGCGTGACCCATCAAAACCGCGCTCGATTAAGCCGCGCCCGATTAACCCGCGTCGCTGACGTCATCAACAGGGCGACAACAGCCAGTGTGGAGAAA